GCCTAAGCAGTCTGCACAGTACCAAAGTGGTGAAGACAGGGACCAGTCGGGGAGGAGTCAAGTTATGGCATATCCAATTTCCTCTAATAAAGAAACACAAACTCAAACCAGTTGCCCCTATAGCCAAGTTCATCCTAGGTAACTTTCATCATCCTCAGACTGAGAGAGGTTTGGAATCAGCACATTTCCGGCTGACTAAGTGTTCACCCTGCTGGCCCGCCACCATCTTGGCTACTTGGAACAATGTTTTAACTCACTGTGTAATATTATCCAGAAATGGGGCAGGGGAAGCTCAAGAGAAATGTTTATGGACAGAAGCTCTGATTCCCTATCCTAGCAAGCTCTTCTTGTTTCCTCAAAAGACACTGAGAATGGGCAGGTTGGCCAAATTCCTCAAAGCAGGGTTTCATGACAAGGCATGAGGATAAGGTTGAAAGATAAGTCCATTTTCTATATGGAACCATAATAACTACAAATGTTGCTTCTTGGGGGTGGGAGGGGAGGGAAGGCAAGGATAATTTCCGGTAATTTTCCCTTCCCTCTGCAGCAAGATAAATCTGTTTATTTTGATTTCAACAGTCTTTGAAGTTTTTGAAACAAATGTCTCTTCCATCCCATTTCCCCATCAAATTGTCTTTCATTTGACAAAACACCCACCTGAAAAATCATATATGCCTTTGTATATAGAAAAATTCATAGGATTTACATTCTCTTTTTTGTTGTTGTTTTTATGCTTCAGAGACTCTTACCAGCATTCTTGTTTTGTCTTGTTCGGTACCAGATTGAGAAACATATTTTTTCTTCCTACCCGAAAAATTATGCATACCGTGGTATTTTGTTCCTAATACATATAATTTTATTATTTTCCCCTTTTGACTAAAAGATTGTGTGCATATTTTTCAAACTATTGCTCATTTGTAGGCTTAATTTCTATATGTCCTCATGGTTTCATGCACATTATTTTCTTTGCCAGAACATCTTGTGAGCCTCAGAAATGTACATTTCCAAGGCAAGATATACTTTATCCCAATCCTACTCTTGAGAGGTTAAAATGTAAATTCTCATAGGAAAATGCCAACCCAGGTCATTTCCCCCATATATTAGGAAGAGGGCACACAAATTTGTATACAAACCTTTGTATGCCCTCTTCCTAATCTATGTATCCTGTACACAATTTCCTTTAGCGTTCACACTTTTAAACAATTTTTAATTCAGAAAATTGCATTGGAGAATTCAGAGAAGTGGAAAAATGAAAGTATTATTGCACTCCGGTTTGCATATTTGTTCAGAGAGTACAGATTAGATTAACTCATATGAAAATCTGAACCAAACAAATTCCTTACTATCTCTCATAGCCCCTATCCCCGATTCACCCTATAGCCCACATAATTCCAGTTAGTAGTTTCAGAAGAATTAACCATGCCTGTGCCAGCATATCAAGTAGAAGCAAATGAAAATGTTAATTCCTCAGATAGGAAGTGTCCACAAAAGCTCACATTAAAATATAGCAGTTAATCTTTAAGGTGCCACAACATTTTTTGTTCTTTATTTTTTTTTCCTTTTTCCTGATAATTCAATTGTCTTCCAACTCTTAGGAAAACATTTCATAAAACATATGGAACTACAGAACTGATGCAAAATATTTCTGATATAGGAGTGAAAACTTCATCCTGTTTATGGAAGGATGGCTGGAACTAAGCCAATGATTTCTGTGAATCTGTTGCTATGTGACATCAACTCACTTGAAAACTATGTCAACTCTATGAATTTTTTACCACTAGAAAATCCTATTGTTAAGAGAGCCACAAATTAAAAGTTATCATTTCTTTCATGAAGTCAGTCCATTTCATGTTAAGTCTACTGTCTTCCAACTGCTTCCGACTTTTCCTAGCCTTATTGTCTTTTCCAGTGAGTCATCTTATAACATGCCCGAAGTATGGTAGCCTTAAGTTAGTCATAATTGCTTCTCAAGAGATATCAAACTTCACTGGCTTTGAAGCATACATATTTGTCTGTCTAGTGGCCTGTGGTGTCCCTGATACTCTTCTCCAACACCACATTTCACATGAGTTGATTACCCCTCCCCTCAGTAATCTTTCTCCATTACCCAGCTTTGTAAACTATGCATAGTAATCTGGAATACCTTTGTATGAATACTGTCAGCCTTGGTCCCCAACAACAATCCTTAAATTTGAGAATCTCCTCCAGTTCCTTCAGAGCTTAGGATCAATGAGTTTTGGTATCCCTAATTCTGTACTGGATTGGGCTACATTTGCACCCACAGCGGTTGATTTGTGGACACATTCAAAATATGGCTTTTCATCTTTAATACTGATTTGGCCTATGATGCTCCTGTTACATTCTAATGGAAAGGCTGGCTCTCTCCCTTCTGCTTTTACACTCCATCACAGTGCATGCTGAATACTCCTTTTGATATATTGCATTGGTCTGTCATCATTTCATGTTGAAGCCCTGCCTTTTTTGGGGTTTTTTTTGTTTTTAAAAATGGCCCTTGAGAATGAAATACAGCACATTGAAGTGTCAACCAAATATGACTTTGATGTGCAATTAACACTGAACCATACCTCATTACCTAGTGGTAACGCACCACGGCATTTACCATGGGTTTAATGAATCAAAATGCCTTGGGGGCCTTATTTTATTAAATTTTATGTTGAAATTATTATAACCTTATTATGAAATGATGGCACTTCATTCCACGTCTGTTCAACCTCATGGAATCCAGAGCAGAAGGATCTTATTTCACTCCAAAGTCACAACACTATATCTCTCCCATTAATTGTCAAAACCAGCAGGATAAAAGGTAAATTATAGCCACCAATTAGTTTTGCCTATAATATCTTGGGCAACAAGTGCAATTCAGTCCCAGGGAGAGCCTGTGTTATTGACAGGCCGCAAAAGAACCATTATGACCTTCAGTATATTCTAGAGCTCTTTCCTAAGGTCTCTTTGCATGCCAACTACTTTCCAAAGTAGCTACTATGGCATAAGCACTCTTTACCATCAGCCAACAATATCTAATACAGTGGCCCCTCGACTTACAAAGCTCCCTACTTATGAAAATTTCGAGGTACAAAAAGCTCAGGCCGCAAAATTTTGGTTCGACTTGTGGCCGGAGCTTCGACCTACGAAAGGCAGTGGAAAAGGGCGGGAAATTCAAAGCTGCCCCCACTGCCTTCTGCCTCCCATTGCCGCTGCCCTCTGCCTCCCTTCCCCACAGGGACAGGAGGCAGAGGGCAGTGGGGGCAGCTTTGGAAGCCCAGCAAGCCAAAAGCCGCCCCAACCTCCGTTCCCGCTGCCGGCTTTTGTCTTGCCAGGCTTTGAAAGCTGCACCCACTGCCCTCTTGTCTCCTGTCCCCAGTGCCTCTGCCCTCGGCCATGGGGACAGGAGGCAGAGGGCACCAGGGACAGGAGACAAGAGGGCAGTGGGTGCAGCTTTCAAAGCCCAGCAAGCCGAAAGCCAGCAGCGGGTGCGGAGGTCAGGATGGCTTTTTGGCTTGCCGGGTTTCCAAAGCTGTCCCCACTGCCCTCTGCCTCCTGTCCCCACAGGGGCGGGAGGCAGAGGGCAGCAGGGACAGAAGGCAGCGGGCAGCGGGTGCAGCTTTGGAAACCCGGGATTTTTTTTCCTTAGGCCAGTTCTGGATAATGGGTTTTC